CCCCGCCGCGGGCCCCACGCTGGCCCCGGCCCCGCAGCCGGCCGAGGAGCCCGGGCCGAGGGGGACGGTTCCTCCCCTCCAGCCACAGACCCACCGAGCATGGGGGCCGCGGCTGGGCAGCGGATCGAACTCGGAGGGTTGCAACTGTGGATTTTCTAAGAATAAACTGCAAAGCTGAACCAAATGGGTGAAAATCGCAGGGTGCCCTGATCCTACAAGTTTCTCCACCAACTTATTTTGTCTTTGTAATTAGGGCACTGTAAACTGGACTCTGCTTGAGTACAAAATACTTCAGAAAGTCTCTATAGCTGAAATCCAAAGCAACGAGAGAAAGGGAATGGAAAAGAGGGAAGCATTCTGAGGATGAAAAAGCTGCTAGGGGCACCCCCAATACCCTCAAGATGAAAAGGGGATGTGATGGCACATCCTTTGGAGCACAAACTGTGCTTCTCTGGATCTGTGGAGCATCTGGCATTTAAAAACAAAGTTGTAAGCTAAGCTTCCTAATAATCTAGAACAAAGAGCTTTACAAGACCTTCAAATGCCTTGTCTGTGAAAAAAATCACATCTATTATTATTTACACTGCAGTAAGCTATGATCAGAACTGTTTATCCTGGATCTGCCAACGAAGTCCTTGTGTTATTATTTGAATTGATAATAACCCCTTTGATAAACGTGCGCGGGTATCAGAACCGACCTGTTTATTGCAAATAGATACCTATATGAAGAAAAACTTAAAATATGTTCTGACAAACATAATTTCCCTCTTCTGATAGAGGAGAAATACACAGAGAGCAGGCACAATGAAAATGATTTGTAAAAGTTTTAAATCACCATCTTAAAGAGGTTATTAAATATTATTTTAAACCACAGTGGGAATTGGATTGTTCTGCTGACTTTGATTGGTTTTCTGCAGAATAATTTTAGTTAACAGAGTTGAAAGAACAAGTTTAAAGAAACTAACTTCATCCACTTATAAAGCTTTGATTATCATAGAGCCTTTAAATTTAAGCTTCATTGAATACAATATGATAATCTTTTTTTCTATCAAAAGGCAAATTAAAATATTCTGCTTATAATCCTTTTTGCCATTTCAACTGCTCATAAGATTTCTTGCACCGGCAGTCTATTTTGGTTGGAATAAGACATTTCTGCCCATACAACAAATTATTTGTAATGTGCCAAAATTTGTCACCACAGCTAATGTAAACAAAAACCCACCACCATCCATAACAGCAGAATGGATTTATTATTTAGTCATTGTTCTAGTCAATCCACGTTTCTGTGCAGGGCCTTCAAGAAGTCAATAGATGGCAGTCCATCTCTTAGGAAAGAGCCTGATAATGAATAAAAACACCAAAAGCTTCACAAAAGAGAAAGGTGGAAGGCTGTGTGGTTTTTCACAAGCATTCACAGTAATTAACTAAGAATACTTTATATAATGCAAGACATTTAGACAAACTTTGTAATGGCTGTCTGTAAGCAACGCTACAAAAACGGCCTTTTATGACAAACCTGAATGCCTGGTTTTATTTGTGCCTGTGTGTACCTGCATGTGTGACACTCACGATCAATTTACCAAAATCAATTTAAATCTAGCGGTTGTATCCACGGCTGAAGCACAGGAAAAACTCACCGCAGCCGCCTTAGTCTGTTTGCCAATAACCAGGCGGCCTCTGCAGCGCAGCAACAACCACAAGAGTACTTTTAAAAAACCTTCTTTTATTTTTCTTGAAACAGTCATCCTGTCTGTACAGAAATATTTATTCTACAGGAGGAAAATGATAAACTAATTGCTATAGTGAAATGCTGCTGCGCTAGTATGAGAGCAATAGATCTCAACTTTTTAGTTAAAATTCTATAAATGTATGTACGACATACATTATTCTAACAGAGAAGTTTTGATTCTTGCGAGAACACTGTTTACTTCTGCTCTGCTTTGGGTGCGAAAGAGAGTATTTAAATGGAACAATAAAAGCTGGCACTCATACACTTAAACCACCCAGATAATGCAGTTTCTTGAGTTATAACTTATTTTAAACACCAAGCATGTCTTTTACTACGCAAATTTTAAAATTCCAGGCTTAATCTGACTACTAATGGAACTTTGGAGTCAAAGTGACTCTTCCCATGCAAAGAATGGAGAGAGCAAAGCATTTCCCACATATCAGAAACGTGGATTATCTGCAGATAATCTGCAGCTCACTGCAAAATAAAAAATTATTTACCAGCGGCTAGGGCCTGACTCAATGTCAGTTTACCTTTGTGTGCCCATGTCTGACCACGTTTCAAAATGTCCCTAAAATGCCCTAAGAATTTCTAAACGGGTGCTGTGAATAATACACTTGCACTCGTAACCACCACATTTCCTAACGAGAGCTTGTTTTGACGAACGTTGTTAGCTTTATACTAAGTAAAGTGTAAACACCGAACACTTTCTACAAAATTCACAGATAGAATTTTCTACCTCAGACACCTCAAATTCTGCCCTAGTAACCACTTGGTCAGGTTTAAGCTCCCACACATTTTTTTACAAAAATAAATCTTTCCTAAGTGTTGATTGCGACGCACTTTTTGAGGAATTTTCAATGGCAAGCAAGACTAAAATGAAATTAAATCTTATACCTCAATAAAAAAAAAAGAACCCAGCATACTACTGCATCTAATATAGCTATCTGATTATTAGATTTCAAATATCATAAATGTTTCAGAAATAATTTTTACATGCAACCTTAGGCTTTATAATGAAAGACGGCATTTACCTTTTTCCTTCTTGCAATTTTAAAAAAGCAAACAAAAATACTCAGTGAATGCACCTTTTTCTCATCATGGTTTTTTTTTAAAGAAAAGTCTGTATCAATTCTGTTTAAAATAAAAGTAAATGCTCAGAAAGGGAGGAGGATTTCTAAAGTAGATCTCTGTTTTAAAATCATTATGCAGAAAACACATGCAAGAGGTTTTAAGCACAGATTTCTCCTATTCATTGAATTTAGAAGCAAAAGCAGAAAAAAAGAACATTCCACTACCATGGAGAGGTGGAGGCAACAAATTATAAAGCACATCCCATTTAGTGCTCTAAAGAAAAAGCCTGCTCCAAAGACCCATGAAGAAAAGTAGTGGACAAACTTTTCTGCTCTGTCTTGGACGGACAGCAGCAATTAATTATCTATAACAGCCAAATACATACGAGGTTGATCTGGGTAGCAGTGACAGCAAGGATTCCGAGGAACAGCAAAAATCCTAATCTTTAAAGGTGTTCTTGTGTATAATAATTTTAGAAAGGAACATATTTGAGATTTGCGGTATCAACCCACTGAATGCTGTCTTAACCAGTTCTACATTGTGCCAGGTTTCAATACTAGCCAAATCTATACGCACGTTGTTTTATTTTTATCTCTATTTTACATATGAGGAAAAACCTTAAGTAGCACAGTGGTAAATTCACAAAGTTTTATTTTCTTGTTTCAATGATTAAAGATCAACTAACTCAGGCCAAAGAAGTTACAGCCAGAAATTATCTGCAAAAGTTTATAAAGTGTATCTGCTCAAATTAATATCTCCACTCTAGCTGAGATTTATTTTACTCATTTAAAAAGAAAGCTTTGTCACACACAGTGATTAATTACCAGCATCTGGGATATCTGAGATGGGATTATTGCTTCTGCTATGCATCTCCACTTAAAATTTAACCCTCTTTATATGTGTAAATGTAGTCACTGAGAGGAGAGAGCGCTACCAGGCACTCATTTAATGATTACAGTATTAAAATGAAACCATAAGTTCTAAAGATGTTTAAAAAATAGTGACAGTGTTTCATTGCATTCTTCAGTTCAAAAACTCTTCAGATGTTTATTATCTTCCCGCAGAAGATGCTTGTCTATATTTTATGGTCAGCAGTTCACAGAAGAGTAAATAGGTTGGGTGTAGAAGAAAATAAAAAAGGTGTTTCTACTTACTGTTAGGTGATACTGCCTCCATATTTCTGGGCAAGCCTGGAAAATAAAAATATTGATCAGCTAGGAGCATGAAACAAGGTGCTTTACAGCCTGTTGGTTTTGGCATAACACAGTATCCACCGGTGTCGGTCACAGGAAAATAAGAAGCTTAACTGAAAGGGTCTGCATTTCAGCTTCAAAAACCTGGCTAGACAGTTTAATTGAATTTTACACTGGTTTAACACACTCCCTGCCATTGTCAGAAAGCCAGTAACAGTTTTCTCTCTTCCCCTTCTTCTCTGAAGGTTAGAAGTTTGGGAGAGTAACGTGCTCTTAACTGCAGTAAGTATTAATACTGCAAAACAAACAGAAATGAATTTAAATTCTGCATTTTCTGACATTTCAGATTTACATAATGTTTTGGAAATTAAATCACAAGGTACCTTCCTTTCATGTAGGAATAGAAATATTTTAGTGTTTTTGTACATATCTCTATCCTAATCAAAATATAATTGTTACATGTAATAATCCTCAGTAGCCTAATGTCAGATGAGTTGTAAACAAGAAGCAGAACAGATTGCTTTAATGTTTCTATTTTTACAATGGCTTGATTTTTTTTTAAAATTACTTTTTAAAAAAAAAAACAAAACAAACCAAACTTGCCAGACTCACACAAACTTCTAAGTGCAGCCCTTTGTAAAATATTTTGCAGAGCAGACTTTCGAATAACACAATAGACCTGGGGAATACGTAAGAGACAGGAAAGAGGAAAATGTGGATCTTCTTCTTCGTACAAAATTAGAATGTGTTAACAATCAATGAGACAGAGGCCACTTTCTCAAGGGTTCTTAACATTTTTACAAAATGTACAATATTTCCGTCTTCTCCTATGACTATAAACAGACACAGAAATAGTGGCACTTTTGTCTGTGAGCCATTTCAGTGTTTAAGAGTGTGCACACAGTTACTTCAATGGAGGTCTTTCACTTTTGTTTAAAACATTTACCCTTTCACTAAAATAGCTCCTTAATCATTTGAACAATTAGCAATTTGGCTTGCCAATCTCAATTTTCAGTATTTTAAGAAGAAATATTAGATATTCTGTGGCTTCTACATAATATGCTGTAGCTCCAATTTCAAACACTGAAGCCTCATGACTACTTGCAAATGAGTACTATTAACATTTCTTTAGATTTCGAATAAATTTTTCGCTCATGCCTAAATTCTTGCCTTCTTTTATTCTCACAGAGCATGTTAATTAAAAAAACCCACCCAACAACCAATATTAACAAGTGAGTCTCTCAAAAAATATTCCAAGTTTTTGACAGTCACCCTATGGCATATACAGTATGTTTTTCCTGGATGTGATGGAAATGATATTATTTATTATTCATTCCATCAGTAACACAATTTTCTGCAGAAAAAAACCTACAATCTGTTCTGTGTAACGGTACGACATTTCTCCTCTTACTCAAATACTGCATGTAAATATTTGAGTTTTATATTAATATTTCTATAAAGAAAATGTGTGAAGTCCCCATTTCTAACAGGGGAACAGGCTCCAACATTTGACAGTTTGAACACACTCGAGCTGTCTTTGAGTGCAAACAAAAGGATTTTCCTCCTTTGCTAACTTGTGCAGGATTCGGAGGTACGAGACATAAACACTCTCCAGCGTGTAAAAATATTGCATCAAAGCCCTTGCCTTCTCTCTCAAAGCTGTAAAAGGCTTCATCTGTACATGAGGCTTTTGCTGGTTTAGCACAGGGGTAGCAGGCAGTTATTTATACATTAGTTCTGGATAGTTTTCGATTACCACAGTGTCCCCAGACTAATATGGTTGAAAAATCGCAATCAATGAGTTGTCATATACTGGCAAAATGCCACTCCGTGACATGACCTTTACTCACACAGCAGCTATTTAATAATAATAATAAAAATTATTTTTGAATAATACTTTGGTGGTTAGTTGGTTTTTTTTTTTTTCTCTGGACACAAAGGCATGAGTTGCAGCGAGAGTCTGTAACTCAGCGTAGGAAACTGCAGTTGGCTCAGCTCTAACCAGACCCCTGGAGGAGGCAGAGCCCCAGCCCCTGGCAGCGGCACGGGGTCGGCTTTAGCATCACCGTCCTTCAGGGTGTTCTGAGGCTGTGGGAGAACCTAAGGGAGGTAGGAAGAAGGTGGTGAGGGAAGACCGGCCAAGCCTCTTTCTTCATTCAGATGGTGATTCGGTGCAATACTTTCCACCGTCACAATGATCACTTGCGAACTTCAGAAGTTGAACACAATAGTTGAAAATGGATGCCTGGCTAAACAACAGCTTTTTAGAAATGATGCTTTTAACTTGGAGTCTTATTACCTTGCATCAGCTCAGAGTTATTGTCTGTATCTTCTATCACGGAATGACAAAAAAGTATAATTAACAATTACTACTGAATGCTGGCTTCTCAAATGAAGCAAAGAGGTTTGCTATGGAAGAGAGCATAACCAAATACAACAACCACCGATCCCATGATTTCTCTTATTTATTTCAAAGTACTTAACCATGAATGGCCCTCATTTAAAGAAAAGCCCTTGTGGTATACAAGTACGATGGCAGTGTGATGAACTACATTAAAATAAAATTGCATTTATTTCCTGCCCCAGTGGTCTGACCTTACTAGCATTTAGATGTACCAGCGCAGGAGGTGCCTACTCCTAAGAGCAGTGCCACGGTGGCTCGGCTGCTGCCGGCGCAGGCGGGCTGCGCGTCCCCGCACCTTCCGCTGCGTCCGCACAACTGCCAGGCAATTAATTTTCCCAGATCCGTGCCGGTGTTGCCGCAGCCCACATTCGGTTAATTTGGAAGGGTGATTATTCATATCCGAGCCTGATCCGGCAGAGGCTGCCACACCAGATGAATCAAGGCTGGATACTGCGCGTTTTGACCCGTATTGAATTTTATCAGGTGCTAATTATTGTTTTACCAGAACAACGGCTTAATGCATCTGTTGTTTAATTCCCACTTCCCTATTCTCAAACGTGAACATCAAAGAAAATAAAACACTCAATCTCAAACAGCCCCTGACAGCAGACCAGGACTCGAGTGCTCAATAGACAAGGCCCTTGCCACCAGTTCTCATATTTCCACAACAATGAGCAAACACAAAAACAGCACTAAGCGGCCTTTCCTCCTTTCCGCTCCCCTTGGCCGGTCGTCTGCCTTGCGCCGAGAGGGCCCTCGACGGCAGCCCTGCTGGGAGCGCGGCGTGGGGGAGAGGATTAGCCTCGCTAACATGCGAGCATTTGCAAAAGGGAAGGAAAAACCCCGCTACTGTATTTGGCGTATGAATAACCAAAATGCACGCGCTGACAGGAGACCGGGACGGGCCTGCAGCTCCCCGGGAGAAAATGTAGCTGTGATGAGTGACAGGGCTTTCAGGAAATATGTTCACAATCACAGACAGTGAAGGCCATGACCTAGATCGTTTAAGAGCTTGTCTTGTCAAATTATCAAAAGCTTCTTCCTCTCTGAATAAAGAGTGACATAAGTGAGTGTCAGAAAGCTGCAGGCTGACAAGCCAAGCATACAATAACAGCATGCACGTCACATACTTGCCGAACACCGCCACGGCTAGCGGCAAATCTTAATGAGAGCGCGGCTGGCCCAGGAGACTTGGGTCCCTGCTGGCACAGCTACTCATCTCGCAAAAATCCTTCAGCTCCAAGTCAGTTATGGTCTGACACGACGACTACAATTACTAAACACAACTTTTTAACAGAATCCTCTGGTGCTTTGTCAAAGCGGCGGCTGCTAGGAGCTGCCCCGCCGCAAGCCACCACAATGAAACAAAAGATTTGCCAAAACACACACTTTTCATCACCTCCGCATGGGAACTGCCGCGGAAAACACACAATGCTTCCCTTCAAAACCGCTCCCGCACGAGCAGATGTCGAGACCTCTCCCCGTGCAGACACAGGCGCCGCTGCCGGCGCCGGCGCGGAGCAGGCCTGGGCGGTGACCCCCGCGCCCAGCCACGCTCCCGGTAACGGTCACTCACGCTCACCCCGTGGGCACCGGCTGAAGAGCAGGGGACGCCACCGGGGAGAGGGAAGAAGGGCAAACCCCCTGCTTTCTGCCCAGGGCAGGGTCCGCCAGCGGGAACGGGCCCTGTCGGCCACGAGGCCACCAGCGAGGCGCTGCGGGCTCACCCCTGCGCCTCCAGCACCTTCCAGAACGACAGAGGTGGAAGGAAACCTTCTGGGAGAGAAGAGGCTAATGGTGGCTTGCAGGGCCAGGAAAGGTGTCAGGACACAGGGCGAGGCTGCTGGCGGCGGGACCCGGCTGTTCCGCTGCTCACAGGGTGCTCGGGGCGGGAAAGCAGGCTCGGCGCCACGAAGCGGCCGGGGACCCAGGAACTGCCGGCTGACGGGCACCCGCCGAGAACCCGCACGCTGGTTTTTCCTATGTATAGAAGGAGACATACCCTGCCTGCCACGTTTGCCTCCTCCCTGCCACACCACCCTGTTTTTGATGTTCTCCCGCCCTGGCGGCTGACACTGCAGACCTGACGACACCCACCGAAGTGCCACCGAACCCGCGAGACACAGGACGGTCACAGCGTATACGTCCCTACCATAACTGTCTACACACAGAGTCACTTACAGATACACGTGTGTATGTGCACACGTTGCCCGACGGGAGCAGCACGTGGTCAGACACAGCCGCACCTGAAACTTCTGAGCAGCTCTGCTACCTGCTCCTCCGACCATCCTCCCGAGGGAAGCACACGGGGTGGAGCTGCCACCAACACGGCTCCGTCGGAGATGACCCCATGCTGTCTCAGGGAAAGAGACTGACCTAACAGATAATAAATGTATTACCCCAAAAATGTTTTAAATAACTTTGGATATTTCCAAATCAAACTAGGTGAAGTACTGGAGCTGCCTCATGTTCACTTCTGGACGAAAAGTGTGACTGTGGAGAGTCATTCCAAAACAGACCATGCACAGGAGCTTGTTCTGCGTCCTTTGTGTCACAGGAAAAGAGAGTGAACTTTCTGGGAAAGACAAATTAA